GAAAAATAAATCTGTTCTTTTTTCTTATAAAAGGCTAAATAAAACAAAAATATTGGTGGTAATTTTTGACTGTAACTTTATAAACGGCACCACATTTATCTCCTCGATCCAAGCCGGAGGAGTTTATTCTGTATGCATGTTTCATATTTTTCTGGCTTCATAAAATAACTGAACCTCGAGCCGCTTATGAAACCTAAAGAAGTTTACAAAATTTACGTAAAGTTACAGACGGACCAAAGTTTGTGAAAACAACTCACAACAGCTGCTGAAGCTGTAAAATCACAGTCCACCTCCATCCAAGCCGGCTCGATTTATTCTTTGTGTCTTCCTCTGTCTTCGTAAAATAATGCTGCTTATGAAATTTAAGGAAGTTTACAAAACGTACATAATGTGTAAAATGAAAACTTTCGGCGAACCCAAGGTTCCGTCCTGAGGCGGCAGAAAACTGAAGACAGTCCTTTAGCTAAATGCCCATCCATGTGGCTCTCATGCTACAGAGGTTAGAGACCACGCACCTGGCAAACACCTGACGCCAGAGTTCACTCCTCCCTACTCTAAGGAGTAGAGAGGAGGGAGACCCGAAGAAAACAAACATCGACCTCATTTTAGTTTTATCATAATACTGAACCACGCAGCTCATCTGTTCATTGCGTCATTTTTGTTCAGGCGACATGGGAAACACACCTGTGTATGAACTGGTTCTCCTCTAAATACTGGCAGCCCTTAGCGATGTCCCTGGCCACGTTGAGGAGGTCCACCATGGTCAGGCTGGACGGCTGGTCCTGAAGCATGGGAGACAAAGAGAAGATGATCCAGAGTTAAATGTTTCTCAGCATATTCAGAAAAACTGGTAGATTACACATACAGTCATGCTCGAAAAGTCTTTTCTCCAAGAAAAATATTGMAATTACACGTTTTGTTATACGTTTATTTCTTTTGTGAGTGTTGGAACACAAAAAACACGGGAAAGAAAAATCTGAAATTGATACGACTTTTTGCAAAACTCCAAAAATGGTCCAGACAAAACTAACCATTGTACTGTTTAATGTAAGTGGAAGAACACAGGTTCTACAGTCAAATATGGTGACGGTTCAAAGATGTTTTGCTGCCTCTGACACTGTGTGCAAGGCATTATGAAATCTGAAGATTACCAAAAGAATTTGGGTGACAGGGTAGGGCCCAGGGTCAGAAAGCTGGGTTTGTGTCTGAAGTCATGAGCAGGATAGAGCTCAAACATCTTTCAAAAGATGGATGGAAACAAAGYGCTGGAGAGGTCTGCAGTGGCCATCCAGGAGTCCAGATCTAAATCTCACTGAACACCTGAGGAGAGATCTTAAAACTAGCTGTTGGGAGAAGACGCCCTTCAAATATCCAATCCAATTTATTTATAAAGCCCTTTAAAACTCCTCCAAAGGAACAAAGTGCTGTACAATAAAATACAATAAAAACACTAAACAATAAAGGAAGTGATTGAATTCAGTTATTTCTTCCAAAGGGTGTGAAACCAACTAAGCTGAGGATGCCAGTAATTTTGTCTGGCTCATTTTAGGAGTTTTGTGTGAAATTATATCAATTTTGGCTTTTTTCCTCCCCTGCTGTTTTTTGTGTTGTTCCAATACATACAAAGCAAATAAATGTGTATAACAAAACATTTGTGATTGCAATAATCTTCTTGGAAAAATACTTAATTTTCTGGAAAGATTTCAGGGGTGCCAACACTTCTGAGCATAGAATATCAGCATACGAGAGTTTCTTTTATTGGTTTGAAAGTAGATTTAAAACACGTCCTTTTAATGGTAAATAAAACGTGAAACAGATTTGAATTGCCCTAAAACCTCACTAATGTCAACGTGAAAATCAAAACCTGTCCCTTCTGTTGGAGCTGGTTTACAACAGGAGCTTCAGTCTGTCCTGACGCTCTTTAACTCCTAAACAAAGGAAAAAACAAATGAACAGAAAACCCTTTTTTCCCCCCTCGATGTTCCACTTCAAAATGTCCCTAAAAGCTCTGAGAACTATCGGCCACCTGTTATTCACCAAACAGCAGACGCAGTTTGCGACTGTCTGGTGAAAATAATGGAGCGTTTAGCAGCTGAAGAGCCAGAGGAGAAAGAGTCCCCGAGGAGGCTCCATCAGCCCAACGAACAGAGATGGTGTCTGATGTGTAAATGAGCAACTGTTTTACTATAACTTCAAAGCTGGCGTCGCCAACATTGAAACAAAGCTTTGTTAAAAAAAAAGAAAAGTATTGTGTGGAGGGACAGACGAGCGAGGTGTTCTCACCAGCCGGGGTCTGGTCTCTCTCAGGAAGGTCTTGAGGTCTCCTCCRGCCATCAGCTCCAGCAGGATGAACCTGGGCATGGCCTGCAGGCTGACGCCGATGCAACGCACGATGTTCTGGTGGTTGAACTTACTGCGGAGGCACCAACAGCAGGAAATGGAGCATTAGGAGCGAAACGCCTCCACTCTAATGAGCAGAAGTGTGCGACTGGATTCTACCTGATGATTAGAGCCTCCATGAGGAAGTCCAGCTCATCTTGCTCAGAGCAAACCTCAGGAAGAGTCTGGAGTGGACCAAGAATTACTTAAACCTTTTACAGAGTTCTTTTTTTAGCGAATGTTTAACTCATTTTATAATCCAAGTACTAATAATTACTGTAGATTGGCGTCACACATCATTAAAATTAGAAACTTTTGACATAAACTCAAAATTTGTTTAAAAAAAGAGGAAAACTTTCTGAACTGCAGAGGTGTCAAAACTATTCACATTATCAACTCATTTTACTCAAGTAAAAGTGTAAAAGTACTGGTTTTAAAACTACATGAAGTATAAAAGTAAAGAAAAATACAAGCCATTAAGAATAAGTGTTTAACCCACAACCCTGCCTCCCCACATAATTTTCTAAAGGCAGTCATGACCGTAGTGACTTATATTTTGGTGCTGATCAAGTGTTTGATCAGATCAGACTCACCTTCACAGCCACCTGCAGCGGACTCGGTTCACCGGGGATCCCCACTGCCAGACCTTCATAAACCTCCCCAAAAGCACCGTGACCCAGACCCCTGCAATAAGACCTCAGTTAAATGAGCGTCTGCAATAATCATCAGGAGAGCGCAGCTTTGAGAAAAGCTATGAAACATTAAGGATTTTTACTTTAAATAATACAAGAGATGCTGAAAAAAAAGTTTCTCTCTTCATCTCGGTCTCTAGATGAGTTTTAATAAATGCAACATATTCGTGTTTGCAGAAGCTGCAGAAAGAAGCAAAATGTTGATCCGGAGAGCAATAAGGACAGAGAAACAGCAGTAAAAACTGAAGATAATCTGAAGCACTTTGGGACTTTTATTTAAGCTGCTCTTTTCTCACACAGCGATTACACCACTGTTAGATTTCAACTGTTCAAATAAATCCCAACAATTAGGCAAGTCTGACCTTATTTTATGCACTATTTCTAGTTCTAAACCACGTATTAAAAAGTCTTAATTGATTTTTAAGTGCCTCATGTTGGTGTTACTGAGTGAGGTTAGCACCTTATGTTACTGCGAGTGTAATCAGACACTTTGTTTGCACAAATAGGACAAAAAATTAAGATAACTGATAAACCAGTGGTGTGTTTTGCATGTTTCAGGTGTTCCTCTGCTCCAACACACCTGATTAGACAGGTAGATTTACYTCCTCAGCATCCGATCTACACAAACACATTAATTATGACCTCGGTACAGGAAGCAGGGGTCATATTGTTTGTGTACTGTTTAAAAAAAATTCTGTGAATTTTGGTCAACCGCAGCACGGAAATGGTTGCACYGATCAACATGAAATTTGGCAGGATTGTAGACGTGTTTGATCTACACTACGTCAACCAACTGTTTTACAATGGACCCCATATTTGAGGAGGGGGCTCCATTTGAAAAAGGGGTGTCTGACATACAAAAATGCTTATAACAAAAACTATCCAACATAGGAGCTTCAGATTTATTTTTTATCGTTTARCTCTGATGAAGGGCTATCTATCGGGCCCACCAATGAGTCCCCTTAACCTACCCCCAACCCCCACCCACCCCACCTGAAAAGCAGATGTCTGGACTACAAAACAAAATTGCTTATAATTTAAAAAAAAAAGACTGTATTCAACATAGGAGCCTCAGATTTTTTGTTGTTGTTTAGCTCTGAAGGACTATCAGTCAGGCCCACAAATGTGCTGGGGTCATATGTGCTACTGCTATGAGTTATCTAGTTTAAATCAGGTGTGTTGGAACAGAGAAATGTTGGCATATTTGAACAAATTCATAAAGAACACATCATGTTCAGTAATTGTACACTGTATTCATATTTTTGAATCAATGAGTTTCACGTTTTCATCTCTGCACAGCTGAAGTCCTTCACCTGGTGAGGGAGATGTTGCGTCGCGGCACTTCCTTCAGGTCGCTGACCGACGCCGTCTTGCCGGCGAAGCAGTAGTTGGGGTTGTAGTCGGTCATGATGGTGGAGGCTCGCAGCTTGCTGAGCTTACAGTCGGGACTCTGCAGCTCCAGCTGAATGGACTGCAGCTCCGTATGTTTACGTCGATACACTGGTGAGAAGAAAATGAAAGCGTTTGAGTCACCCCGCTGAGACACCTACAGTTCTAAAAATAAATAAATAAAAAAAGAACAGCGAAACCTATCTCCTTGTAGAAAATTATCGCTCGCAGCCACAGAGCACAGAGCCGGACGCTGTTAAAATAATATTTCTCTAAAGACCAAACACAACAATCACTGTGAAATTGAAATTTTTCATCTGTGAGAGCTCTTGAACCCTTCTTTATCAAATGTTAGGTTTGTCTTGAATACGTTCAGATAACATTTAGTTTTGGAATTTGTTCCAAATATTCACATTAAATACAGAAATCACTTCACACCCTCCTCCTCCTCAGTGTTACTCATGAGCTCGCTTCATGTCAGCCTTTTTTTTTATCTGCTGCACACCCACCACCACCAGCAGCAACAAAAATCTCACGTTTCTCAGCGCCTGAAGCCTYGACCTGGGCTGTAAACGTATTAGTCGCGTGCAGAATGATCTGTGTGTGTATTTATTTACAAAGTGGCGTCTAATGTACGAGCGCCGCCGGCCGCCGGCTGAGCAGCCATCCATCACGAGCATGTTTCATTCTGCTCACACTCAGTCCTCGTTTGTCTCCGCCTCCTCAACACGTGTTGGAAGGTGGGAGTCTGAAATGTGCCGTGAGCGAGTGTGTGTGTGTGTGTGTGTGTGTGTGTATGCGGAGGAGAGGACGACTCAGCAGCTGCATATGTCTGCCTGTTGTTGGCTGAAAGCGGGCGGGCAGGTGAGCGTTTGTGCTGACCGCCAGGCTCGCTCTCTAATCAGAGAACAAACCTCCTGAGAGGGAGCAGCAGGCAGGGCGGACTGAGGTAACGTCTGGGTTTTCAGCAAAAGACAAAAAAAAAAAGTCGCTCTGGAGTTAAATCTGAAATCTGAACAGAGGAAATAAACGTAAGGAATTGTTACACCAGATCCACCGGAATCAACCGTCGACCTTTCTGCAGCACCTCTGGGTTTTAGGTCAAAATAAAACTTGTTTGGTTTGTTTTGAAAATAAAACTCCTCGCCGACTCGGGAGGTGTTAGGGAGCGTGACTGCAGAGACTTTGTGCTTGTTAAGTTTACTTCCTGTTTAGAAAAAAAGAGAAAAATGGTTGCAAAACATTTTCTTTCTTTGTTTATGTTAAAGGGGCAATATCATGTAAAATCAGCTTTTTTGAGTTTTATATCATGTTATGTTATACTCTCATAAAAACATGCCCAAAGCCTTGCTCTGACTCATTCATGCATGTTTGAGAAATCCTGCAGCGTTTTTAGGAAGCCATGCTGAGGAGCTAAATGACAGGTGGGGACCAGAAACGCCCCTGGGACGTGTCTTTAAGCAGAGCTTCCTCATGGCAGAGCACCCCCACCCCCACCCCACTCCACACACACCCCGCCCATGACTCCTGCAGGCTCTCGGGTGAAACTGAAAGTGAAACTTAAACTGTCTGCTGAGCTCTCAACATTAGTTCTCACTCAGTGAAGCTCTTTTCAGRTTAAAAATACMTTTGAGGAAATGTATTTTCAGATGCCAAGTAAACTGCATCATAGCAGCCCACCCACCCGCACCGAAGTGGGTGGGACAGAAGCGGAAGGTGGTTCTTAAAGAGACAGAGGCCAATTTCAAGGCGTTTAGGAGAGGAARTGATGAGAAGATAAGTTTATTTTCTATTTAAACATAAAAACAGCATTTTAATAACAGCTAAATGTGACAAAAATACTTTATTATGGTATAGTATTTAAATGTATGCCTGAGAAAAACATAATATAGCCCCTTTAAAATTTTTAAAGCAGATGTGCCCAAAGTGGGGCCTGCGGGCCAAAGTTGACCCATCAAACCATTGGAACTGGCCCACCAGCTGTGTTGTTATAAGTCTTTCGTACATCGATCCAGTGGCTATAAGAGGCTGCAGTGCAGAAAGTTTTCAYTCATGGTGTGGACTTTATCTTTGAATTGTATTACGATTGATCAAGAAAGAAAAAAACTACAAGATATATTTAGATTTCCGCACACGTGTACATTGTCACACTTTATAAGAACACAAATACTCATATTTTATCATTTTATGAAAAGTCCCATGAGCCTTTGCTGCCTGAATGCATATCAAACTTTCTCCTAATGCACTGGCTGTGTCTGTGTTTGTTGTGTTAGCAAAATATCTCATAAACCTGTGCCTATAACTGACTGACTTTTGGAGTCGATCCCTTTTAAGATGACCACTGCAGCTAMTCAACGTTAAAATGTTTTAACGCAGTTGTATTTACTGATACTGAGCTGAAACCCAGAGTCAGTATGGTAGTAGCTCACAACACACACTTTTAATTCTGTCTCACAATATTTGCATGAGACGGCAGAAAAAAAAATCATCTCTAAGGTTTGACCAAAAACAGCAACAACTCCTCATGAAATCATCTTAGCTTATAAATCTGGATGAAAGACGGTGGACGATATGTAATTTGAAGTTTGATGAGCTCATTTCAAAACATCTAAAGCTGAATATGCATGTGTTTGCGTACAAATACATATAGTAAAACATGAAAAAAATCTAAATACAATAAAAAAACAAAACGCAATTTATAAATGAAATGAAAGGAAGCAAAGGGAAGAAAAATCTGATGACATCTGCCCTTAATTTTCTCTAAAATAAATTCAAATAATAATACTACAGACGGTTTACAGACTCAAACTTGGAAACAAAAACAGCAACAGATCCATCATTTGAATAGTTTTCTTTTCAATAAACTAGCTTTTATCATCTTTTTAAACATATAAATTGTTCTGGAAGTTTTAATATCATTAAGTTTATTCCATAAACTTATTCATTGACTTACAGCACAAAGTTCCTTTAAACTAATACAAAATTGAGTTGTTTTTTTAATCTCTATTCCCTTAAGTTTATATTGACTCTCTTTTAACAAAATAATTACTGGTAAGACATTTTCATGAGCATTATGCATAACTTGTRAGATATAATCTACCAAACTTCATTAATTTCATCTGATGAAACAATGTATTTGTTGGTTGATAATGCTTCTACTAATAATTGTTCCAGCTATTTTCGCAAAAAAAAAAAAAAGAAAAAAGAGGATTTGTTATTGTTTTACATGCTTTTATATGGATATAAATGTATATATTTTGGACGTTTGTCGGTGACAGATTTCTTCAAACAGACTTGGATGAGTTTTAATTTAAGGTCCCTGAAGTGGAGATTAAAACCATCGATGCTCATTTTGTTATGAAAAGGTCAGAACACAGTTTGTTTGAGCCGTCAGGCTGGTTACCATTTTAAAGTTTATTGATTAAATGGCTAAATGAATAATATGATTTTACGGTTGCTCAGAAAAACAGTTTTTAACATTTAAAAATCTTAAGGTTTGCTCAATATTTTTTATCATTTGCACCTGAGATTAGTCAGCATTCCTCTGTGGAGTTATACTCACTGATCATGACCCCCGACACGGCCAACAGCAGGGCGGCGATGAGGGCCGAGGTCCCCACRGACAGACCCAGAGCCAGATGGGACAGAGACGGCTGCGGGGGCTGCGAGGACACGTCTGCCAGACAAAAGGAAACAACAGCATTATACAGTTATCTTCCCCTGAGAAGCATTAACATTCACTTCCATACGCAGATCTCCGACTTAATTAACGACGTGAAAGCGATGACACAACAGAGCGCCGGAGCAGCGACGACGACTGCATGTAAATCCCCCCCATCAGAGGAGAGGAGGGGGGGTCTGAACAGAGGAACAAACCTGCAAACCCAAAGAGACCGTATTGAAGCTGTGACCTTTTGTAACCTGGCATCTTTAATGAGATCAGATCATACAGCAGGGTCAAACTAAGACTGGAGGTTATTAAGATAACACTGAGATGGAATTAATTCAGTTATTTTGTCTCAGATTATAAAGAGAATCTCTGTTAATATAATTATTTTCAGACCAACATTCATAAAGAGATAATTTATCTCAGATTAAGAGACAATTCCAGCTTCACAAAGATTAGTTTACATTTCTTATTCATCCAAAATCCATTTTTATGCTCAGCAGGAGGGTAGTAACTAGTTACATTGGAGAAAATTTTTGGAAAAAAATAAACCTTTAGAAGTAGTTTTAAACCGTTTTATTTACTTTGGTAATATCAAGTATTTTTGCTCGTACTTGAGTAAAATTTTTGGAATACTCCACCCACCATAAGGAACTTCACTGAATGAAGAGCAAACATGTTTTAACCAGAAATGCAGCAGACGTAGACACACACACACACACACATATATACATACTGTATACACACACAAGTTTGTATGTTTCTATGGCCTAAACATGACCTCTTACCATAAACCTAACCCTAATCTGAACTCAATTCACACCTAGTCTGAAACATAACCGCAAACCCAAAAATGGAGTTACACCAGATCAGGACCAGTCTTTGGTCCCCATAAGGACCACTGGCATTCTGCTGAAATTTCTTTTTTTTTTTTTTGAGTAGAGAGTAGAGCCGCTGCTCCTCCACGTGGAGAGGAGCCAGTTGAGGTGGTTCATCTGGTTAGGATGCCTCCTGGACGCCTCCCTGGTGAGGTGTTCTGGGCACGTCCCACTGCGAAGAGTTCCAGAGGAAGACCCAGGACACGCTGGAGGGACAATGGCTGGCCTGAGAACGTCTTGGGATTCCCCCGGATGAGCTGGTCCAAGTGGCTGGGGAGAGGGAAGTCTGGGTCTCTCTGCTTAGGCTGCTGCCCCCGAGACCTGATCCCAGATAAGCGGCAGAAAACGGAAAAACTGAATTTCTTGTTTTCTTCCACTTATCCAGGATCGGGTCAAGGGAGGCAGCAGATGGATGGAATTTCTTATTTTGTAATTTTTTTGTGTTATTTGTGTTAATTTTATTCATTTTAGTTTTTTAAAATACACAAATTTGCACATAACTGTATTTTTTGTTAGTCTGATGACATCACTTAAAATATTAAATCAGATGCTATGATCATTTACTCAAGTATCCACTTTACAAAATGTTTTTACTCGTACTAGAGTAATTTCTTGGACAGCTAACTTTAGTCGCTACTTAAGTACATTTATACTCAAGTACAAGTAGAGTGCAACTTATGTGTACTCTACTCACCTATGATGCTCAGTTATTCTTTCTGCTCATGAATAAACAAAACTTATAATTAAAATTGATAATTAAAACAAACCCTCCCAGGTTCTGTTACTTTTGTAGATAAATTTATTATTTGGTTTWTAGAAAGTGACAAGTCCAACCTGAGACGTTGACGCAGGACACCCTGTCCGAGTCCAGGACCAGGTCTTCGTCGCAGTAACACACGATGCCGTCTTTGCTCTCGTGACATTCTCCGCTCTCACAGTGGCTGCAGTTCTGAACGGGGCTGATGATCACCTCCCCGTCGCCCTCCATGGCTACAGAAACACAAACGGAGAACGACACTTCTGTAACTGTTCAGGGTTCCACTCCGTTCACTTTTAGTTGCTGCTTAATTCTGAGGAGTGAGCACCAACTGGCAGCYGGATTTTGATCATTTTAAAGTGACAGCAAACTACAGCGACTACACTCAGAACAAAGATCATTCTGGTATATCAAATAGATACATCATAAATCTGGGATCTCTCCCACTGAAATAAAAGTTCCTTCCTTCCTCCACCTTCACCTTGCAGCACTGACATGAACGCTGTGGGTTAGAGTTTATTGAACAACAACTTTCTAAACTCTACGTTTCAGAGAAGACAAAACGTAACTCAGTCTGAATGTCAGACATGTGTCTTGAATAAATGTTATCAAACTGAAGAAGATCTGGGACGAGTCGCAGACAAGAAATAATCCATTATTCAGATGGTGCGGCAACGCCTTTGTAAGGAAACAGCTCAAAGTTATCTGAGCAGCTCAAACTGCATCTGTGTCCAGAATCCATGATGACTTTTTATTTTGTTACACAAAGGCTACTGTCATTACAGACAAAACGCCTCAAAGGTTGTTTACTTTTCTTTTATTCATTTTGTGGTTTAAACTCTGTATCTGGTCAAGAACAGAGAGGACACAAATGCCAGTAAAGATCACAAGAAATCTGTTAGTTTAATATCATATAAACATTTTCCAATGAGTACTTCTGGTTATTAAATTATTTCACCAGATGTTTTAATATATTTTTCCCTTTAATTATCCAGGAAAGTCCCATTGAGACACAACACCAGGGAATTATGATCAGGATGCTCCAAATAAAAACAACATTTCATATAAATGTTTTCTAAATTCAAAATGAATTTTGACCTGGACAGGAAGTGAAACAACTTCAGAATAAAAGTCCAGTTTTTTTTATTTTAGCTTTTTAATCACTTTTTTTGGTCAGATCCAACAATCATCAAMACGTTAAACCATTTATTGTAGTAAAGTTCATGTTTTTATGCAGAAAATACACTAAAGCTTGTTGGTATCTTAAAGCTCGTGCAAAACAGAAAAGTAGAAGGCAGCTTAAAAAGAACTTCAGCAGTATTCCTTGTTTATATTTACATAAAACAGTGAGAACATGTTGGTTTATCTAAAAGTGTGTTTTTATTTTACATCTAAAACCATGTAAAACTGGACTGTGAAGACCTGCATTGGTTGCAAAGCTGCATGTTCTGCTGTTTTTAATAAACATGAATTTAAATTCAATCGTTCAGTCAGAAACATGAGCTTTACATTTATGCAACATTCATTACTAGTGTTGCATATTGGAGTCAGAATATTTGCGATTCATTACCATTCCTCGCAGCTCGGTTTGTGCACAGGATGTTTGCAGCTCAGCGAGTTGTTTTCCAGCTGACCCTGATGGCTACTGTTTGAACCAGAAACTCAAATCTGTGTTCTGATCTTTGTCTGCAACTAAATCTGCAGACCCCAACAGGATTACAGCTCCCTGTCATAACTAGTTTACGACAGTATTAATTCTATTTGGATATGTGGATATGAAGGAACTAATTCTCCTAATTATGAACAACAAAGCGCGGGGACAAAGCAGTCTTCCGTGAATTAGTTATGATCCATCAGAGAAAGCATGTGCTGTTTAGTAAGCACAGCCAATGCAGTCATCTGCAGAATCTATTTTCTCCCATGATTCTCTTATCTCTTGTAAGTACAAATACATAAATCTAACTGAGAAACACTGGAAAGGTTTCTGAGGAGGAATACAAATGTCCTGAGTCCAGCTGCTCGCTGCATACTAATGAGTCCTGCTTTCTGTTCTGCATCTTTAAACCTGCCCGTGTTGTCTGCTCCTCCACGGCACTTTTCTGCCAGCAAGGAGAAAATAATGGTGGCTTCTCTGCAGAGTTTCACTAATATTCACAGGTGCAGCCGGTCTGCGTGTCAGATTTGGTTTCACGAGGTCGATGCCCCTCAGAGTGACACAAAAGATAAGAGTGCAACACTCATATTGTCAGAATGAAACGCTGTCAAATGTTTGATTCTTTTACTGAACGAGCTGCATCTGTAGAACCTGCAAAAGTTTCATGTTTTCTTTTCAAGAAGCCAAATTGCCTTGTAACGTTTATCAAAGTGGTCTGCAGCTCTGCAGAGTTTCTGGAGTTTTCTGTGGTAAATGGTTTGGTCTTTTATGGCTTTATCAAGCCATTACAGACTCCGAAGTTCTTTTCACTTCAATCATTCACCTCATTCATTCACACACATTCAGAAGCTGGCACCACTGGGCCTTCTGACCACCACCAGCAAGCATGCACCGATTGAGATGGATGGAATGGGGKATCAAACTGGCAACCTACTACTTACAGGATGACTCCCCTGTCCACTCTACCACAGCTGCCTTTGACTTTTTACAAATTTCCAAGTATGGGGTCTCTGCTGTACATAGGGAGTGTTTCTTGGTGTGGGCGGAGTTTGTCCCAACAATGATTGGCAGAGTACTTCGATGTGAGCGGAGTTTTGTCTTAACCGTATTTGGCGCAGCTCTTGGTGTGGGTGGAGTTAGTTGTGATTGGTGGGGTTCTTGGTGTGGGCAGATTTGTCCCAATCATGATTGGTGCAGTTCTCGGTGTGGGTGGAGTTTGTCCTAATCGTGATTGGTAGAGTTCTCGGTGTGGGCGGAGTTTTGTCTTAACCAGGATTTGTAGAGTTCCTTTGTGTGGCGTTTGTCCTAACTGTGATTGCCAGAGTTTGTCCTTATGTTTGGTAGATTTCTTGGTGTGGGTGAAGCAAGCCGTGAATTGCGGAGTTTAGAGTTTAAGCGGAGGTTCTTGGGTGTGGGCGGAGTTTGGCAAAACAGTGATTGGTTGGATTGGCTTGCTTTGTGTGGGAGGTTAAAAGATGAAGTAATGGTTATAGTAAAATTATTGTGAACATGTAAACAATTTATTGACTTCCAATTTGGTGAGACAAGCACTTTTCTGTCTCAAGATATAACTAACAATATTTAATATTCCTATTAAAAAATTGTGATCATTTACTGCATCTCAAATTGTTTTAACAGCTTTTTGGACATCTTGATGGAGCTAAAATCCTGTTTTCTATCCATCAGACTGTGTTACCTTAAGTACATTTTATAGATTTAAATACAGAAATAAGAACAAAATGGATTTTTGTGACAGACTGATGACAACAAAAATAAAATTAGTTCTGTTATCTGTCATGTGTCAGAATTAGAAGACTGAACCGAAGGTCACTATCCTGCATGTTTGGATTGTTTGCCTGCTCCAAAACACCTGATTCAGTGAGTCAATGACCTCTTCAAGTTCTGCAGAAGCCTGTTTATCACCAGAGCTTTGCTTCATTATTTATCTGTTGGTGTCTGAGCAAGAAAATCTCCTGAATTGCCAAATAAATAAATAAATAAATAAATAAATAAATAAATAAATAAATAAA